TCCTCGCAAGAAAAGGGAAAAGTTGACAGCTATGCCTCCTGGCTCCCACCCATGTGGCTTTATTGGCCCCACCTACATGACTTCCTTGTCCTGCCTCACCAGGTCCAGGGGCTACTAGCCACCACTGGATTAAAGGGAAGGAAATACAAAAGGGCACATCACTGAAGCTGTTGCATTTGGCACCAAATGCAGTTCTGCGGGAGAAGGAATATTTGGCTGATGTCTCCGGAACAGAGGAAGAAACATTTTATCACCAAAAGGAGGATGAAGTGTTAGGCCAAGAAACTAAGCAGACTGCTCTGGAATTAAACTAATTGCAAGAAGTGGGAGGTAGGAACTAGGGATGCACAAATCTGTCAGTTTCTCAGTTTTCCAATCTTAAATTCACTTTCCCACATTTCCACAACAGTTTGCTTAAAAGAGAGAGAGGCCCTCATGAAAATTATCAGCATTTTATTGCAAATATCCATGTGTTTATAAGCAATGTTGACAAATATACGCATTTTTGCAAAGCAATTTACCCTAACATAGTGCATTTGGGTGTGTTATTTCTGTGCTTTTTATGCACAAATTACCCTTGCATATGCATTTTTGCACACATTACTTGGCCAGAGAACTGCAAAATGCAGAGAAGTGTGAATTTTGAAGGACTGGTGTTTCTTGGTTCACATACCAGAAAGTGCAAATTAGGTCGAATCAACTTTCAATACAAACTGAAATGAATTTCTTTCCCCCATCCCTCTGGAGATCTAGTTTGTGTCACAAAGAGGAAAGGAAGAAAAAATAAAGGCAGTGAGGGAGTCCAGATTTTCAAAGGAGATGAGCAAAATTCACTTAAGGCTGCTAACTAAATAAGTGTCAGCATTTATAGAATTGTGAAATATCATGCAACTTGTGGTTAATTTGTGATGCTCCACATGTTTGTTTGTTTGTTTGTTTGTTTGTTTGTTTGTTTACATAGAGATTTATATCCCACTTTTCACCATGTTGGTCACAAAGCAGCATACAAGAATAAGATAAACAATATACAAAATTTAAAATATAAATTAAACCTCCCAAATTTCAAATCTTAAAAATAAAAGTTTTTAAAATGTAAAATATCTGGGAAGCTTATTTCTGGGTACAGAGGTCTCCTGAAATACAGCAGTTTTGACTGGGCACCTGAAACTCAGTTGGAATGGTGTCTGTATAACCCCTTGTGGGTGAGAGTTCCACGGAGTTTGGTTTTCCCTGGCTGGAATGTGTCCTTGGAGTCTGATAATGCCTCCTGCATGGAGGATAGTGATGGTTGAGTTAGTGAGCAACCTATTATACAAATGTAAGATTTACATTTGTTTCTCCACCTAATTTCGCCTCTGGCCCCACCCACCCCAGCACAAGGAACATTGCTCAGAAGGAAACACAGCCCTCCCCTTGGGCTGAAAAATGTTCCCCAGCCCTGTCACGACAGTTAACCAAATATAATAAAAGATCCTCACTCAGTTCCAAGAATTCTTTTTTTCTTTTCTTGTGATCATGAAAAAACTGAAGAGGGTTTTCAACACTTCCTTGCTCCCTAACCAGAAATGAAGTTCTCCGAAACTTAAAACACGCACAGCTGGGCTCTAGTGAGCTGCAAATGTTTCAGCTAAGATGTTTTCTTCTAGCATCACTTCAAAGCATAACATGACCCATATGTAAGATGTATAATAACCTTTTGAACAACTCAGAACTGAACAGCTCTGCCAGATGGAGCGAATGGAACAGGAGGAAGCTGGGGGCACCCTGTTTTGCAGTGACTTTAAAAGCTATTCACTTTGATTTCTGGACCTGAAGATGGACATCATCTTCCAGGTGGTGGTGGGGAGGGGGGGAACTTTCTGTTCCTGAAAGTGAAGATATAAGCCTACCCCGCCCCCGGTCAATGCCACTTGTAGCATGCTTTTAGAACAGAGGCAAATGTAAGTAGTTGAAGCATTGGCAATACAAATTTCCATTGCATTTCCACAAACTCCTTCAGAAGCGTGACTTCCCTTCGTGAGCAAATGCAGTTTCTCTCATTTCAATTTCCCTATTTCGCTTCCCCCAAAGTACAAGCCCAGAGACTGATTTTTGCTTTTCAAGAGGTGCCTTGCTTCATTCCAATATATTTTAAAGTTCTCACATTGTCTGGAACTTGAAAATGATATACGCAATGACTACATTCATAAACGAAAACTAAGAGGTTTAGATTAACTTCTGTGTGATCTGTTGAGAACTGTCCATATTGTTTTCTTTATCATAAAGGATTGCACTCCATATGTTTACCTTTTGCCACTCACATATACAGTGCTGAAAGTCCGTAAATGAAGACAGATGGGATAGATATAGAAAGTTGATAGATAGATATAGATAGATGATTGATAGATTAGATAGATAGATGATAGATAGATTAGATAGATGATAGATAGAAAGATAGATAGACATAGATAGATAGATGACTATAGATGATTGATAGATAGATAGATAGATAGATAGATGACAATAGATAGATAGATGATAGATGATAGATAGATAGATAGATGATAGATAGATGATAGATAGATAGATAGATAGATGATAGATAGATAATAGGTACCGTATTTTTCGCACCATAGGATGCAGTTTTTCCGTCTTAAAAACTAAGGGGGAAAGTCTGTGCGTCCTATGGAGCGAATGCAGGGGGGGGAGGCAGGCAGGAAAAGCCCCCAAGAGCCACACACAAGCTTCGTGCGGCTCTTGCAGGCTTTTCCCCAGGAGAGAGAAGGGACTGACACGGTCAGTCAGTCCCTTCTCCCTCCTCTAGAAAATCCTTGCGCAATCTCTCCAGCCGCGGGAGGCTGAGCAAGGCTAAAGAGGAAGCCCGGGCAGCGAGCGCGATCCATCCCACTCGCTGCCCAGGCTTCCTCTTTAGCCTTGCACGCCTCTCCAGCCGTGGGAGGCTGCGCAAGGCTAAAGAAGGCAACTTTTAAAAAATCTCTCTATCTCTATCTCTATCTCTACCTCTTTTTCTTTTTTCGTCCTTTCTCCACCCCCTTCTTTTCCTCTGGATCAGTGTTTTTATCTAGATTAACGTTTTAGTCTGGAGGGGGGGATATTATAAAAAAGGAAACTTTGCAGCTTTTATTTTAGTATACAATGAAAACAGATTAAACAAAACACAAAAGGAAATAGCACAGAAGAAGAAGAGAAAAGGGAAAGCCATTTACCAGAGGTAGATCTTAACCCTTGCCTCACCTGGGAGCTTCTCTGGGCAGGAATTCCCTCGGCTTAAGTGGGGTGGGGGGAGAGTGGCAGGTAGGGGGGTACCTACCTAGACACTGAAGCCACATGTCTCTCCAATGAAAATTGGGAGTGGGCATTGTGTGAAGTGGCTGTGGATCTCCTGCCGCAGAAGTGTAGAACTGTATAGAGTTGGGAGGGCCACCCGAGGGTCATCTAGCCCAGCCCCCTCACAATGTAGGAATTACAGCTAAAGAACGCCAGGCAGATGGTCCCCCAACTGCTGCTTAAAAGCCTCCAGTGGTGGAGACCCCCAACACCTTCCAAGGTCATAGAATTGCAGGGTTGGAAGGGAACCCCAGGAGTCATCTAGTCCAGCCCTGGTGGACAGCGGGCATGATCCATCCTGTTGCGCAAGGCTAAAGATGCTGCTCAAGGCTAAAGAGGAAGCCAAGGCAGTGAGCGGGATGGATCGCGCTCGCTGCCTTGTCTTCTTCTTTAGCTGCGCTGGAGAGGTTTAGCTCCTGGCTGGAGAGGTTGCACGGCTATGGATCCCGCTCGCTGTCTTGGCTTCTTTGCTCTTTGGGGCTGAGGGGGGAAACCCAGGCTTCCCCCAAGAAGCTCTGGGAGAGAAGCTCTGGGAGAAGCGGACAGGCTGAGCGCAGCCTGTCCCTTGCTCTTTGGGGCTGGGGGGGAATAATATTTTTTCCCTTGATTTCCCCCTCTAAAAACTAGGTGCGTCCTGTGGTCCGGTGCGTCCAATAGAGCGAAAAATATGGTAGGTAGGTAGATGCTAAAGCAGCCTCATTTTTGAATTCTGAAAAAGGGAGGGAAATGACCATCCAAGTAGTACAGGAACCACTGCAAAGTAGTGCCACTCATCCCTCAGACAGCCACTTCAGAAAGATACCATGGTTGATGGTATCAAAAGTCACTGAGAAGTTGAGGAGAATTAACAAAGATACATTTCCCCTGTCTCTCTCCTGACAGAGATCATCATACAGGGTGACCAAAGCAATTTCTGTGCCAAAACCAAGCCTAAACCACAACTGAAATGGATCCAGAAATTGCCACTGAGTGAGTTTAAAATCTTCTGCCGCCCTCTGAGCAGCTCCACCCAGTGAACATGCTTGTGGACTTGAAAGAGGTTCTGCTGAAGTGGCTTCTGTTTTCTAGCATTTAGGATACCAGAACTGACCGATTGTTAAGGCAGAGCTGCCTTGACCTCATGACAGGAGCCCCTTTAATTGATTAGTATGCCCAATTTCTTTCTCCCTCCCCAAATGCATTAAGGCACCTTGCCACATTATTGTTTTGGGCACTCTGAGCACATTATCATGTATTAAACGTATTATCATGTAATGCATTAAAAAAAACAACCCACCATTTTGAATGCAGAAAAGCCTTTCAAATGCTGTACCCAAATGAGTTGTGCAATTAAATTAATATGCTCATTTTGCACAAAGATCCTGTTATTTTTGCTATTTCCGCTCTGAAGCAGAATTAAAATGATGTCCTCTAAAGGAAAAATATATTATTTTTACCCTTACTTATTTGATTTATAACCATAGCCTTCATGAAATTGCCCCAAACACATTATTATATAAAGTACTGGATCGGGAATGTGCTATTTTGCTAGGTAGAAGTGGTCACCTGTGCAGATTGCTAATCTCTCCTCTTTTTACCATGCAGAGACAATGATCTATCCGAGAATCTGAAATTGTTCTAACATAACAAGCTGAGCAAAACTGACATAAGGACCCTTGACTCCACCCTCACAAATGTTCAGAAGCTCCAGGCTGGCTGTGTTAGTGCTCAGATAAGTGTTGCAGACCATGCATTATGTTCAGTGTGTATTATGTGTGTGTTTTTCAAAGTGTGTTTAGCATTTTTCCAGAAAAAGCCACTTACTTTTTCCAGAAAAAGCAACTGTGAGAGCCCCTGTCCTGGATTAGAATGCTAGCACATGGCAGGATGGGCTTCTTCAGGAAAAAGAAACTGGCCAGCATGTTTGGTTTTTTAAAATGTGCTTAGCATAACACGTAATTTCACTCAGGTCTGCAGCCTTGGATCGATGTCCTTGTTAGAATGATCAATAAACCCAACTGGTTTCTGGGTTTGATAAATCAGTTGCTTTGGGGTGCATACCTTGGTCTGTAAAAAGGACTGTTCCATTATGTTCTTTGTAGGACATAAATGCAATATACAGCTGCCAGTCTGTGTTAAATAAAGAATGGAATAGGAAGAAGAACAAAAGTAAATTGATCTAGGAACTGTTAGGACATCCCTGTTCCCCTCACAGAGCTACAATTCCCAGAGTTCTCCGTGAAGGGAAATTGATTGTTAAACTATTCCGGGAATTGTAGCTCTGAGAAAAGAATAGGGGTCTCCTAACTACTATCAGCAGCCTTAACACATTACAGTTCCCAGGATTCTTCGAGGGAAGCCGTGACTGCTTAAAGTGGTATCATACTGCTTTAAATGCATAGTGTAGATGGGGTCTCAGAGCTGGAGGGAGTTTGTAGGTTGTCTTCTAGCACTACAAAGAAATATGCCCATTTTCTGGCTTTCCTCTTTCAGTTTCAAAACACAATTTGAAATAATAGAGTGCCATCCTGAGAGCTGTCTGTGCAATACCTGAGCTGTGTTTAGCCAGGTTGCTATAGCTGATGGTGCCATCAGTCTCTGTTGCACTAAGAAGTGGTGAAGGAGATTAATCATCTGGGGATGATAATAGACTTGGCTCATTTGTCTGAAGCAACTGCAGTGGCAGATCTCAGCATCTCCAAAGCACTGGCCATTTTCAGCCTTTCGTTGGCCTTCTCAATGCCCAATGAGCATTCCCGATCCTATTTTGAAGTTTCTGGTGAATGTGGCAAATCCTTCATGCCTGTCCATACTTGTGCAAAGAGAGGATCATAGTAGGATACTTGGAGGTATGTCTTTCCTCCCAGCTGCAAAATCAGTAAGGGAACTGATTCCTCAAAGGATTGAATAAAAGAGGCCCAGGTACAAACAAGATATACAAGATGTATTCGTACACTAACAAAGCCAGTGTCAATATCATTTGGTCCTGTCCTGTCCCGTCCCATGGATGGCAACTGTTGCAGAGGAACCAAACCAGTAGCCTGGAATAGTTCTGGACTGATACTTTGACTGGCATTTAATGCAACCCTTCTTGGAGGGGGAGGGACAAATAGAAATGCTAATGATGTTTGGGTAGATGAAACAGAAAATTCTTAGGCAACCCTCCTTGTGCTTCTTGTTTTTGTTTCTCTTGCATTCTGTTAACAATGTAAGATTGCTAGACCTCTAGCAATTGCTAGATACTCTTCCACTTCCTGTAGTTTCTCAGCTTGGCTCTGCTTGCTGGCATTACCATGGAAACCAGACTGATTTAATGGACACTGCAGCAAGTGCTGGCAAGCTACAGCATGTCTGGATGGTCAATTTAATGTTCAGGGACAACGAAAGTTTGGGGGGGGTATTAAAATTAGAGACAAGTATGAGAGAGAAAACCTGGCAACCCCTTATGCCAAATATGCAGAAAAATATACTCTGCCTTTGCAGCCAGGAGGAGTAATTGGAGAAATGAGCTTCAGCACATCACTGGGCTAGAGTGATAGGATCAATGAGGAGGACAGTCCAAATTGCTATCCAAAGGCAGAGAGAGGCAGCCAATAGGTGTCCAGAGTTCAGGAGAACCACAGATGTAAAATGCAAGGCTTGCAGTACCATGGGCAGATCACTGGGTGCAAGGAACTTACTCCCAATTGAGGGCTTACATGCACTTCCTCTTGTCCTGCTGCTGCTCCCCACCCTTCCGCTCTAGGGCAAAGATATGCAGGCTGAGTCCCTACCTGCCCCCTACCAAGAAGTCCCTACCTGTCCCACCAGAGTGGTGCATGCCCTGGTTATCTCCCGCTTGGACTACTGCAATGTGCTCTACGTGGGGCTACCTTTGAAGGTGACTTGGAAACTACAACTAATCCAGAATGCAGCAGCTAGACTGATGACTGGGAGTGGCCTCAGGGACAGTATAACACCGGTCCTAAAGGATCTTCACTGGCTTCCAGTACGTTTATAAGCACAATTCAAAGTGTTGGTGCTGACCTTTAAAGCCCTAAACAGCCTCAGCCCAGTATATCTGAAGGAGCGTCTCCACCCCCATCGTTCAGCCCGGACACTGAGGTCCAGCTCCGAGGGTCTTCTGCTGGTTCCCTCACTGTGAGAAGCAAAGTTACAGGGAACAAGGCAGAGGGCCTTCTCGGTAGTGGTGCCCTCCCTGTGGAACGTCCTCCCTTCAGATGTAAAGGAAATAAACAACTATCTGACTTTTGGAAGACACCTGAAGGCTGCCCTGTTTAGGGAAGTTTTTAAAAATTGATGTTTTTATTATGTTTTTAGATATGTTGTAAGCCACCCAGAGTGGCTGGGGAAACCCAGCCAGATGGGTGGGGTAATAATAATAGGCAATTCAGGTTTTCTCTGGATTGTTATTTGCTCTGATATAGCACTAAAGAGCCAGTTTAACCTGGGAAAGGAGCAGGGCAATGGGAAAACCGCTCTGACCTATGCCTAGAATGTATGGATCAAATGGAAAACCGCTTGGACTTCTGCTTTCTAGGCCTGGAGCAAGCGGAAGTGTGGATGAGCTCTGGGTCTCAATCCGAAAAGCAAAAGCTGAAATCTGGCAACCCTGGACGTGATTCGGAAAAGGGCAATGAGAAAGATTGAAGGGGATGGATCAGCCTCCCCTTTGAGGAAAGGTATCTGGGGCTTTTCAGTTTAGAGAAAAGACAAGTAAGAGGGGACATGATAATCTCGTATAAAATAATGTATAGGGTGGAGAAAGAGGCTAGAGGAAAAATTGTCTGCCTCTGTCATAACTTGTGGACATCCAATGAAGCTGAATGTTGGAAGATTTAGGACAGACAAAAAAAAAAGAGCACTTGTTTTCACTCAGCACATAGTTAAACTGAGGAATTCACTCCCACAAGAGGGATGGCCCCCAACTTGGATGGCGGTAAAGAGGGATTAGACACATTTGCAGAGGATAAGGCTGTCAGTGACTATCAGTGCATTGCGTGTGTTGTCATTTCCAGACAATATTGTCAGTAAAAAATTATCCTGCTGATAAGGTGCCGGTGGTAGAAATTACCCCTGGATGCTTCGCCTATCACCAAATCTCCATAGTAGGAATGGTTTGTTCTTCTCTTACCCTCCCACTTCCTCTTTTAAGTGCACTCATTTTAGCCTTATATGGCTTTTGAGGCCTGGGAACTCTGCCAGAAAAGTAAAACCTATTTTCATCTGAACTACAATGTGTGCGATTTTCACTAAGCAGCTTTTACCATGCCAGAGTTGCTGAAACTGTTTTGCTGGCAGCCGGTGCACTTCAGTTCTCTGTGCTTTTTTATCTCTGGGGAGAAAGAAAACCATGTACCAAACTGTCGGAAACTACTGGAAGTCAGTGTGACTCTGACTTCTAGAAACCCATTATAAACCCCTCAGTGAGCAGTTTCCAAGCATTCAGCCCTTGCTTTGCTGCAAGGAGGATCTACGTATACAATTACTGGACACAAGAAGTAATGAGTTTTGTGGTGACTCATCATGAGGTGTTTTTCCCCCCAACAGACACCCTAGACTAGAGGACTGGAGGATGTTTCTCAATATCCAGTCTTGATCCGGGATTTGCTGAGAAGAGGCTGGAGTTAGGAAGAACAGAAGGGCACTTTGAAAGAGAATTTCTTCATGCTTTCCAGACAGTGGGAAAAGTAAGGTCAATAAAACCCAAATAGCATGTTTTGTTTTTCAAAGCCGCCATTTCACTTTATGGTGGTTTGGTTGCCAATGATGGGTTCTGCTGTATGATTGTAATTGTTCACACACAATTTACACTAGTACATGAATTATTTACTTTGGAAACTGCAATGCAAAATTCAGAGAAGTGTGGATTTCAAAGTACGGCTGTGTTTTGGTTCACACTATGTTTTGAGAAGTGTGAGTTGGATAGGTTTGCCTTTAAATGCACACTGAATTGACTTTCTCCCCTATCCCTAAGTTGAGATTCTGTCTAGGGACTCTAGAGATGAGTTGTGTATGTGACAATTGGGTTTTTCAGGTTAGGTTTTTTGTCTGTCTGTTTGTTTTCTGAGCAGCCTCTGGCTAGCTGGTCTGCTTTGACATATAGCAGTAGCCTGTGTTCTCCTGCCCCTGAGGGAATTTCATAGGGAGTTCTCTGCTATGGCACCTCATCTTGCATCATTGACCCAGTGATGCTGAGGAGCATCATGGCCCACACATTTGAGACTTCAGTTTGAGTGTTCAGGGCTGGCACTGCCATTAGGCAGATAGTGGGTGGTGGGTGGTGGGAAGCAGCTTCAAGGTGTTTGAGGACAGCGTTGTGTGTGCCACATTGTTGTTGTTTAGTCGTTTAGTCGTGTATGACTCTTCGTGACCCCATGGACCAGAGCACACCAGGCACTCCTGTCTTCCACTGCCTCCCGCAGTTTGGTCAGACTCATGTGTGTGCCACATAACATGTCCCATATCCCCCAGGGCAGGAAGATTCAAGTACCATCAAGGAAACATTTAAATATTTCATTTGTGTTGATGAGGAGTTGCGAGTTTGTTTGTCTCAAATTAGACCTAAGAGAAATGAGATTACCCAGCAAAAGCAAGCTCACACTTCTCATTCAGTTGGTATATATACTGAAGGTACACATGTAAGAGACTCGTTTCTAATTATATTTTGGGAATTATTCGTGTTCTTATGTAGCTGCATTATTTTATACTTTCTGGGTGTCCCATGTTCATATTATAAAGTAGTTGTGTCCTATGTTATCAATCAAGCACTGCTAGAAGTTGTCCCCCCCCCCATTGTATTTCTTATTTTTAAAAAATCAGTGTGGTTCAAGCAATTTTTTTATTCTGAAAGTGTGGCCCAGAGAAAAAAGTTTGGGGACCACTTCCCTAAGCTAACCTACTGTTTTCAGCTGTGGTGGAAGATACTAAACAATTACCAGTGCTGTAACCAAAGAGAATCTAGAGACTGAACAAAGTTTACAGCACAGGGATCTACTGCTAGAGATGTAGAAGAATGAAAGCAGATTTTATACGTAATTCCTTGAACTGTAGCAAAGGGAAAACATTTTGGACAATAATGTTGAAAACAGCACAGGGAATTACAGGATATGCTTTTACCCGGAAATCCTTTAAAAATGCTTCTTGGAATGTTCCAGTTTGTATGTTGACCTTCAACCAATACAAACTCTGCTGATGACAGCAAAACTTTGTATTGCCCAATCTTGGAGATGTAAAAAATACTCCAACAACTACACAATTGCTAAAGAAAACCTGGGAAACAGCCTTGCAGATAAAGCAACCATATAATAGAAAAAACAACAGAATAATTACCAAAGCAAATGTATTGACCAATGTTTATACATTTCTGGAAAGACAACGTGGCAGATAATAACCTCCTTATTTACATTAATGTAATTATCTATCTGCGCTTTCCCTTCCCTTCATAATACTTTTCTTTCTATTCACATTTTCTCCTCACTTTATTGCTACATATCTATCGTAAAATTAATATTAATTTGAAAAGTCATAGAGAATCCTGGGAACTGCAGTTTGTTAAGGGTTCAGTGAACTGTATCTCTGTGAGGCCAGCACTGTTAACAAACTACAGTTCTCCAGATTCTTCGGGGAAGCTGTAACTGTTAACGAGAGTGCTTTAAATGTATGGCACGGATGCAGCCCTCGTCCAGCTAGCTAAACACAACTGGCTCTCTTTTAAGTTTTCATGACAGTCCAACATCCTATTTCATTGCCAGAAGCTTTATTATCTTTCCCTCCCTGTGTGGATGTAATAAGGGTGAGAGACCTGATATTAAGCAAGTTGATCAACTCCTTGTTAATCTTTCTCCTGCCAGCTGTCCTCATATCATGCACTGCTTCTGGCAGAAGTGCTGTGCATTCAGTCCCCCCCCCCCCCCGATGTGACATGATAGAAATTCACAAAATTATGCAAAGCATGAAGAAAGTTTTTCTCCTTCCCTCGTAACACCAGAGCTCAGAGGTATCCAAGGAAGGGGGATGTTGGAAGATTTGGGACAGATAAAAGAAAGTACTTCTTCACACAGCTCATAATTTAACTATGGAACTCACTTCCACAGGAGGCAGTGATGGCTAGCCATTTGGATGCTATGGAAGAAGATTGGGCTAATTCATGGAGGACAAAGTTTTCAGTGACTGCTAGCTAGGCTCCACTATTAAGGCATTATGCCTCTGAATACCAGTTGCCGGGAACCACAGGTGGGCAGAATTCTGTTGTGCTCAGGTTCTGCTTTCAGGCTTCCCACATGCATCTGGTCAGCCACTGTGACAGCAGGATGCTGAACTAGACAGGCCACTTGCCTGATCTAGCAGACTTGTCCTGCTTTCTAAAATTACTTGGCCATTTATTGTTGGAGTCTGGCAGGGTTAAGACTGTCAGGCAATCTAAAATTGGATAGATTGTTGTTTTTTCTCTGCGTTATGGGTTTCTGCTGGGGAAGGGAGAGCTGGCATTCATAGATAATGACATGGACACATAAGTTCCGGTGCAGAGCACAGTTGGGAACAATTGCCGAGAAATCTCGGAGAGTGAGGATATTCGGTCCTGTCCAAATTGCTCTGAAACTACAGACAATGGATCTGATGCAACTTGGGTCATCAGGCTTCTACAGTGACTACACTTAATGTAAGTGTTCTGTTTTGTCTGCCACAGACTTCTGAGCAACTGCTGTAAACTGTCTCTGGAGCTTATTTAATTCTAAGGGAGAAGACCAAGCTGCCATTCCCAGAGGGTTGGCAGTCATTTGCCTCCTCATTTCTTTTTTACAAGACAGAAAGAAAAATTGTACAGTAGTAGAGATTGTGAGTACTTATTTTACTGGTGCACATTCTAAAAGGGCTTTCAAGTTTATATTTTCACCCACTGTGGGTGAAAATATAAACTTGAAAGCCCTTTTAGAATGTGCACCAGTAAAATAAGTCAGGCATTTTTATGGATTGCCTGCCTACTCTAAAAATCATCATCTCTACATGGAGCTCTCTAGAGTCTGTAAATGATGGTAGGAGAAAAAAACAAATCCTGAAAAAATAGAGAGGTTGGGAGGCTTGTTGGCCTTTATAGTTCCAAAACACAGATGGGGGAGATACTTGATTGTGATTGCATTAATGAAAAAATTACCTAATTTGCACTTCTTGCATCAAGATGTGAACTGAAACACAGCTTTCCTTTGAAATTCACTGTCCTTCAAAATTCACATAGCTAAATGTTTCAGAATACATTGATGTGATAGGATGTACAATGTCATACCCTCCAACAATACTCGAATGAAAATAGGGACGTCCCATTCCATAATGATAGTTTTACTATTTATACCCCATACATCTTACTGGGATGCCCTAGCCACTCTGAGCAGCTTCCAACATATATGAAAACATAATAAAACATTAAAAAAAACCTTCCCTATACAGGATTGCCTTTAGACAGCTTGGGGGGTCAGATAACTCCATACCCTCCAACATTTCTCCAATGAAAACAGGGATGTCCTAAGGAAAAGTGGGACATTCCAGGATCAAAACAGAAACCAGGACAGCTTCTCTAAATCAGGGACGTCCCTGGAAAATAGGGACACATGGAGGGTCTGCAGTGTCTGCATTTCCCCGCTAATATACACATTTTTGTACACAATGTTTGATTGGAGAACTACACAGCAAAATGAGGAGTTGTGTGAATTTTGAAGGGTAATTGTGTTTCAGTTCAAGTATTGGCTCAAAAAGTGCGAATTAGGGCTGTGCATGGCCCCTGGTTCTGTTCAGGCCCTGGTTCTGTTGGGCCCAATGTAACACACCAAAGTGGGCATCAGATTGGGGAGGGGGGCATACACAGCCCTGCTATTGTCCATTTCATTGCATTTTAATGTAGTGCAAGGGACGCGGGTGGCGCTGTGGGTAAAACCTCAGCGCCTAGGACTTGCCGATCGCATGGTCGGCGGTTCGAATCCCCGCGGCGGGGTCCGCTCCCGTTGTTCGGTCCCAGCGCCTGCCAACCTAGCAGTTCGAAAGCACCTCCGGGTGCAAGTAGATAAATAGGGACCGCTTACCAGCGGGAAGGTAAACGGCGTTCTGTGTGCTGCGCTGGGTCGCCAGATGCAGCTTGTCACACTGGCCACGTGACCCGGAAGTGTCTGCGGACAGCGCTGGCTCCCGGCCTATAGAGTGAGATGAGCGCACAACCCTAGAGTCTGGCAAGACTGGCCCGTACGGGCAGGGGTACCTTTACCTTTTTACCTTTAATCCTACCTTGGGTAGTAGTAGGATATAAATCATCCAAAATAGCTAAAATAAAGTGGCATCAGTAGTATGCCCACTAAACCTTATTGCACTGAGGCAGCAATAAGCACAGAAGAAGCTGCCTTACACCAGATCCTTACACCAGCCCAGTAGTGTCTGTTTTGACAGGTGGTGACTCACAGATGTTGAACATCAAGTGCCACTTGGTCCTTCTCACCACAGAGGCCAGGGAAGGATTCTGAGGTCTCCTGCATGCATAGCAGGCACTCTGCCACTCAGCTATGAAGGCTCCTTCCCATACATAGCTACATCCACACAATGCACAGAAGAGTCTTCAGTTAGTGGTTTTATAGGAGGGAGAGAGGGAGAGAGAGAAGAGGTGTAATGTTTTGGGATAGGCTGAAAGGCCTGAATGCTGGGAGAAATGAAAAGCAGAGGTGTCTAGGCAGTTGGAAAAAGAGGAGAGTTATGAAGTGAGATGGTGCACTGTGAGGTGGGAGGAGAGAGAGAAACAACTTCATGTCAGCCTGGAAACATGTTGCTATAAATTCTCAGCTGTTCTCACAGCATGAGGCTGAGAAACTGAAATGCCTGCAACTCTGTTATGATCATACATTCAAGTGACCCTATTTTCCAGGGAAAATCCCTATTTGGGTTATTGGTCACTGATAAATTGCTGTCCCAGTTTTGCCTTTTAAGGATGCCCTTTTAAACTTCTCACAGGGGTAGTCACATTTGTCTCTTGCAGCAGCAAAAACAACATGCCTTGTCACACCTTAGCTAACAGATTTCTTACGGTGTCAGAGGTAGTCTTGAGACCACATAAGCTCATAAGGCCAGAGTCACCACTGCAGTGACTTTGGGTACCAGTGTGCCCACCAGTACCTCCTATGCTGCCTGTGAAAGGTGTCAGTAAACGGCCCTGCAATATAATACAGCTGTATGTCTGTCATCACACAGCAGCAGTTCACTTGGTCGCTGACAGATGGTGCTATATTGCAGGAATGGTATGATGACAGATTGGGCTCTCAAAAATGCAGGGCCATTGCAGAAAGTGTCAGAGGGTGAAGAATGTGTAATTTGGGTATATGTGTGAAATGGCACAAACTGCTTGGTCTGTGTTTTGAGTTGCCCTTCCCCCACATCTTATTTCTGTTCAGTGTTAGGATGCAAGCTGTGATAGGCCTTTAGAAATAGCTCAAGGCCACAGGTCTCTGGCATGACTCATCCACCTTCCCTTTCTCCAAAGAACGTGTATATGTGCATTGGTGTTTCATATGTCTTTATAAAGCCAAGGCTGCATTCAGCAGTAATTTGGGTGTATTTTAGTGAATTGTGGTGGTGGTGCATCTATCTCCAGACTTGGATCTCTCAGTATATTTGAATCTCTTTAGTATATCCACCACAGAAATGTGGATAAGCCCTATGACAGCAATGAATAATTTCAATTTTGAAGTTATGGGATTTATCTGTGTCGATCTCCCTGGGGCATTATAAGCAAAAGGTGGTTATCAGACTGACAAAGGAATAATAGACTGAGAACTGTATTGCAAAATTCAGAGAAGTACAGGAATCAAAGGATGCCTTCATTTGCATCCATATATGAGATCAAAAAGTGCTAGTCAGAATGCTTCAACATCCTCAAGTGCCCTTCTTGTTTTTTTGCTATGCAAATGGCAATTCCGGAAAAGTTTGAGCAATCTTGTGACACTGAGGGGTGGACAGGAACAGCTTAACTCTTTCTATCCCTGCTACGTTTGTTTTTTAAATCACCTCTCTGAAGGTACTATTTGCATTCCATGAGGCTGAGAGAGGGGTGAGATTTGGAATCGGAGCAACTAAGTAGGAGCAAGAGAGAAGCAAGAAGGCCCTGGGAATCCTAGACATATGAGAAATCCTTGCATGTGTTGTTCGTTCTCTGTTATTTCTTACTAATTCTTTATGCTGTTACAGTTACAGCTTCATCAATCTTTAAAACAGTTTTGACTTGTCTGATCTAAGGGGAGGGAGCTCCCATGAACTCCAGGTCTGAATCTTCAGTCAGGGCAATAGGATCCTTACTGGACAGTGTTGGAGTCATATTATAAAATAGATAATGAAGAAAAGCTGACTAATATCAATGGACAGGAAGGTCCGTGGTGTAGATGCTGGTGCCACATGAAAAGATTGATTACCTTCAAGTGCAGAATGTATGTCATGTGGCATTTGTAAAAGTAAATTCTTTTCAGCCCAACTGATATAACCTGTTGAAACCTTTTGCCTTACTTGAGAACCATCTCTGTGGGTGAGGGTGCAAAAGACATGTGAGGACTTGTTCAAATGTATGGAGAGCCTTTTCTTCTGGTGCCACATATATCACTTGCGTGATGTCAAAAACCAGTCATGGCCTGGAACTCATTCTGTCTTGGCAGGGAAAGGATCAAGGCTGTCCTTAAATGCCCTCAAGGAGGTTGTTGAGTGTGTGTTTCATCCATGTGGGAGTCAACCCCTGTCACGTCCATGGAATGTGAAGCTAAATACATCTCTTCTGGGTTAAAACACTATTAATCATTTTCTGCTGAAGAGCCAACTTAAAGACATTGCTTTCTGAAAGTGAGGTTGCAAGGTTCTCATCTGTAATTAAAACTCTTCCTCTCTCCGCCCCTCCTTCAGTGGCCAGCCAACAAAACACAGAGCATCATCTGGGTTTGGAAGCCATTGGCTGAGGAACCTCCACAAACTTGACGGCTTGGTGCTGCTCTTTATTCAAGGTGCCATGTGAACATTGCCATTCGGTAAACATGCTTTCGGGTCCAAAGAGGGATCCATGGAAGATGCTTCTGTGGCTGCTGCTCCTGCTGCTTGCTGACATTTTGGGATCCAGAGCTGAGGCAGACTTAAGAAAGAAGGCTCATGACTTAATGAAGCAAGTCCCGTTAATCGATGGGTAGGTGGAATTCCTTGTTTTCATAACTATGAAAGCATCACTGTGGTCTGAGCTGGGCTATATTCTGATATAGCAAGGATTGTGGAAACTTTTTTTAGCTTTCTGTGGTTGTATGCCAGTTACTGGTGGGGCCAGAGACAAAAGTAGACTGAGCAATGAATGTAAAGATTACTTTTGTATAGAAAGCTAGCTTCTTTCTTTCTTTCTTTCTTTCTTTCTTTCTTTCTTTCTTTCTTTCTCTCTCTCTCTCTCTCTCTCTCTCTCTCCCCCCCCCCCCCATCCATGAAAGTAAAAGCCATTTCAAAATTCAAAACCCTCTTCTGGCATGGCAGAAAGACATCCTGAAGTGAAAGAGTGTGACTTAGGGGTGGGTTTTGACCTGGGGAGAGTCCCAAGAGCCAGATAGAGAGACCTGGAAGGCTGGATTTGGCCCCTGATCCTGAGGATCTCCACCCCTGTGAATACAGTATTCTTCTGATTCAATATAATGCTTTTCTTGAATACGAACAAACAGAGCTTGCAAATATTCGGTCATTCTTGCCTGCCTCTGGAATTACATTCCTGGTTGTGTTGCAAACTGCCTCTGCCAGGCAGCAATGAGGAAGGAATCTGCCCGACTCGAATTTCAAAGCAGACACACCTGATTTGATTCCAGTCCGTACATGTGCCAAATCAGATCACGAGTCCTCCTTATAACTTGCAGTCCTATGGGTCCCTTCACAAGGTAGTACAGGGGCTGTTCCACATTGCCTTATCTCTTCCTTTTACATTAAAAAGAAAGAAAGAAAACCCAGCCTCCTGGAGTATATAGTGCATGAGGCTATTAATATGGCTGTTTAAACATGGGGGCAGCCATGTTTCCTTTATACAATCCCTGCGCCTGGCCCCCAAAAGTGAGAATATGAGTCTCATTGACTTGCAGCATTTCAGTATCAAGTGTACTGTGGCAAACTGCTGCCATGATGGTGCCAAACGTCTGTGGGCCAAAAGTCCAGGTCATTGGGGTCAAGAGAGGGAGGGAGGCATGCCACAAGTTCTGTGACAGAAATGCACGTGTGTGAACTAAGTAATTCAAAGAGCGCCTTGCAGTCCATCCTCTTTCATTAGCTCCCACAGCGATAGCAGATAGAGACGTACCTTTTAGAAAGCAGTAATAGACTAAAATGTCCTGTCTTCTTATCGCGCAGACACAACGACCTGCCCCTGAAGCTGAGATGGCTCTACCAGAACAAGCTGAGCAAGACTGACTTGAGAACACTCAACAAAACAGACACAAACATCCGGAAGCTCCAAATGGGCCATGTTGGTGCTCAGGTAGGTGCTCGGTGTGTACCCAAACCCTGCAAAATGCAGGATTGAATTCATCAGCTGATTCTACACAATCACTGGTATAAAAGAGCGTGGGAAGTGAATTGTTGTGTGGTCCCTTGATGTAAGAGGTGAAAGAGGAAAAGTATAGCAAGGAGGGATATAGGATGGATCCTGGCAATAATAATAATAATAATAATAATAATAATAATAATAATAATAATAAATTTATACCCCGCCCATCTGGCTGGGTTTTCCTAGCCACTCTGGGTGACTCCCAACAGAATATTAAAAACATGATAAATAAGGCCTGTGAGCATGCCATCTATGATATAGGTGTTTTCTGTGGGGTTAGGTTATGGAGGGAAAATGTCCATTTGCAGTTACAGTTTGAATTCATACCACACCTACTGATGGACTTCAAAGGGATCCCTTCTCGGCACCTATCAGCTCCTTTGAAGGCAGTTGGGTCAACGGCATATCAACCGAGCGTCCATTGTGTGTACCTATAGTTGTGCCAAACAGGCCTATATACACCTGAAATTCTGTTTTAAAGCTGCATTTTGTCAACCTTCTTCCAGTTTTGGTCAGTGTATGTTCTCTGCAGTGCACAGAACAAAGATGCTGTCCGCTTGACGTTGGAACAGATCGATGTTGTCAAGCGGATGTGCAAAGACTATGAAGAATTTGAGCTGGTGACGTCATCTCAAGGTAACGTGTCCTGCATTCGCTAGAGTGAGATGGTCTCCTTAGGCAGCTAATTTTTGATAACCTGAAAGGGGAGCAAATGGCCAGCTATTGAATTTATTATTGTTGTATTTTTACTGCTTGGGGGGAAGAAGAAAGCTGCTTGTGGGATTTTCTTCCTCAAATGCCAAATAACATGGCTGGGCTGGGGTATTAGGCACATTGACTTGGTGTGGGGGGCCTCTATCTGCTGTTATGCCTCAGGTAGAAAAATGTCTTGGGCTGGCCCTACTCAGGCAGAAAAATATCCCATGTATGCTAGATCCAGAAATCAGTGACACAGTTTTCACATTAGCATATTAGCTTATCCACAGCCCCTTCAGATACTCCATCCTCACATAGAAGCAGGGGGTGCCAGAGGCAGGGTTGGAGCACTAAGTATGAGGAGGGCAGGCATGTTTCATGGTGTTTTGGGCTGGCAGGGGGGTAGATATTATTTTGCCTTCCTAATGCAGGCATTGCTAACAGTAAAAACATGAAAAGCTGTTAGGGATGGGAGAGAAATTCGATTCTGTTTACATTGAAAGGTGAACTCACCTAATTCACATTTTTCATAACAATATGCAAATCAAATACAAACGTCCCACTTTTCTGAATTTTGCAATTCAGTTCTCCAGCCATGTAATGTGTGCCTAAATGCATATAGTAAACCGTGCATATAAATGTATATATATTAGTGAAAACAACATGCAAAAATGTACTATATTGGGGAAAATTGCTTTGCAAATATGTGTATATTAGAGGAAATGTCATATTAAATGGTGTATAGTAGGAAAAATTCACACAAAAGTGCTAATGAATCTTAATGAGAACTTAAAAGAACAACAACCCCAAAACCAATGTGGAAATGTGAGGAACTGAACTTAAGACTGGAGAAACAAACCGAGCGAAAACAAAATTCCTCATTCCTACATGCTATAAATCTACCCGTAGTTGCACAACTATGTTGCTCTGCATTGGTGTGGCTTTAAAAATTCGAATCTGTCTTTCTAATCGAAATCCAGGCATTGCCAGCACTGACAGCAAAAAGATAGCATGCTTGATTGGCATCGAAGGGGGACACTCCATCGACAGCAGCCTCGCGACCCTGAGGATGTTCTACGAGCTGGGCGTTCGGTACATGACGCTGACCCATAACTGCAACACTCCCTGGTAAACTACAAACAAGTGTTCCTTCAGAGAGGGGCTGTTTCTCTGGGATTCGCCAACCTTGCTTACAACATTACAGTGTATTTATTCCTGTACTGAGAAAATACATGTGCCAGTAGGGGTAGGTCAGTCTGCTAAATGAAGGACCAGGGGAAGGCTGTAGCTCACTTGTTCAACATCCGCTTTACATACAGAAGGTCACAAGTTTGATCCCTGGCATCTCCAGGTTGGGCTGGAAAAGGCTTCTTTCTGTATGAAACCCTGGAGAGTCAGTGCTAGGTGGAAGGAAGAAGCAGTGAAGCTGAAGCAGGGGTGGCTCAGGAAGTTTTGCTACTTGATCCAAAACAGAAAATGGCACCTGCAGCCTCTCGAGGTGAGTGGAGGTGGCCCAGCAGAGTCCCAGCATGCTGAAGGAGGCCAGAGAGGAGCAGGCAGCTGCGGGTGACAAGCACAGGAGACAGCGAGTGGTGTGCTCCTCAGGGAACGAATCTGCCACCCCTCCCAGTTGTCCCCAGCCTGCCACCTGAGGTGACTGCCTCACCATGCCTCATGGGAGGGCAGGCCTTGAGTTGAAGGACGGTTGGATTTAGAGTGAAGAGAGAGGAATTCAATTCCCTGCTTGGCCATTTCTCAGTTTAACCTACTTCATAGGGCTGTTGTGGAAATAAAAAGGAGCATTGTTTATGTTTTCCTGCGTTCTTTAAATAAACACTGGTTTAAATAAGTAATAAATTAATCTATTTCAGGGGTTGCCAATGTGCCATTTTGGGATGCCCAGCATCCCTTCTGTGGCACCCGTGAAAGGCCTAAGTAAATATCCCCTCAAAACTCCACAATACCCTTTGCTCTTCCTGCTCAGTTCTAGTTTGCAGTGGCTCAGCCTCCCCTTACACTGAGCACGCCCCCTTAAACATGCTCACTTGTCACAGGATGCCTGGATTGGGCACCCACCATCCCATCTGTTCTGACCAGAGGAGAGGTGCAAAGAGCTGATAGAAGTGCCTCCCCCCCCCCTTTAAGTGGCTGATGGGGAGCGTGCCTGTTCCTCCCCCCCCCCCCTGAATCTTTTCTGCTCTCTTGGATGTGGCAGCTATTTTGTGTTATGTCACAACCCCACAGTGACCATTCTGTTTCATGCCACACACCCCATGGCAGCCAATTTTTGACTGATGCTCACAACATCCCCCAAAAATTCAGTGTTCTAGATGCAATTACATCTGTCTCTCTGTGTGTTTGTAACTCTGTTCCACTTCGGAGTTTGAAATATTTCCTTGACAGGCTTAAGTTTCTTCTTAAGCATCCCTCACCATCTTTCTTCCCCTGCAGGGCAGAAACCTCAGCAAAGCAAGAACATAAATTTTATCCCGACACTGAGGGCCTGAGCCCTTTCGGCAAAGTAAGCATTGGTGAAGTGAAAATTAGCAGATTGCTGGCTGATATGCACCTGAATGTCTTTGAAATGTACATACTCTGCAGAAAAGGCAAATTCCATATTAGGGTCACTAGTAACGGGATCAAAATAAAGCTGCCAATATCACAATGCCTTTGTAAATTGTACGCCCCAAGGGGAAGCACACTGCGCACAGCATTGAGGGGGGAGAGTGTTGTTGCTGCTTGTGGGCTTCCCAGAGGTATCGGATTGGCCCCTGTGGGAACAGGATGCTAGGTTTGGTGGCCCTTTGTCCTGATGCAGCAGCCAGGCTCTGCTTATGCTCTTAAATCATGTCAGAGTAGCATAACCCACAGCACCATCTGCCCATATTGTGCTAGGAAGTGGTGAAGGAGATGAATCGACTGGGGATGATGGTGGACTTATCTCACACGTCTGACGCAACAGCAAGGGCAGCTCTTAGTATCTCCAAAGCGCCGGTCATTTTCAGCCATTCATCCGCCTTCTCAATCTGCAACCATTCAAGAAATGTTCCAGATGATATCCTGTTGGATCTGGTAAGTGAGACTTAGGGCTTATCCAAACTCACCATTCCTCTGTGCTTTCCTTCATGGTCTGGGATTTAAAGCTCCGCGTCTGAGCACTCACTCTTTCTTTCTCTTTTGCTTTGGCGTTTCCCCCACAAAAACCCACTCTTTAAAGCTGAATCAGAGCAAATGGAAATCCATTGAAAACCCAAATTGCCATTTGTTGTGCTTCAGCATTAAAGAGTGGGTTTTCATGGGATCAGCCCCTCCTGTCCTGGCGAATGACATGAAAGCCTCTATTTCTTGTTGTCCAATGAGCCTCGCCAACTCAGGGAATGACCAATAAGGCTTCTGCATATGATCTCAGTGACCAAGCTAGGATATAAGGGTTCTGGTGGTCCCTGAAGTAGCCCGGACCTAATCAGTCTAATACAGGAACACCTTCAGTTGTTTAACTTGTATATTCTGTAGATAACTTGGGGCGTATCTACACTCGTGGTTTATAACATTAAAAATGTGTTATTAAAATGTGACACCAGGGGGTGCTGCAGAGCAAAGGGAAACTGCCATTAAATGTTATAGAATGTTATATTTAAAAATGTTTAGAAGATCAATCTAGATCTAGCCCTGGTGTCTTCCCACATCAAACCTGAGTTTGACTTTATATTCTTTTCTGAGAGTTTTTTCCTCCCCACCTCAGCCTTTACTTTTAGATGTGATTATATTGTCATTGATGTTCTAGCTGCCAACATCCATATCATTATTGATGGTACCAGTCTACTTGTATCTGACTTGCTTAATTTCCTCTTCCTTTGTTTTAGAAAAGGAATCGTGGGATTGTGATGGTGACATTCCCAACCAAATTCTTGGCCTGTGGTAGCCAAGCAGTGAGCATTTCAACTGTTGCAGGTTAGCAGAAGCAGCTTTCTATATATCGCTCTATTAGTAATATCACACTACTTTCCAGAACTAGAGTGGAATATAGCACAAGTTTAGCCCTCATTTCCGTGTTATTTGCAAATGGAATATTTCTGGAAGCAAACAACACAGAAATGAGCACTAAGCTTGTATCACAGTCCAGTATAGTTCCAGAAGTGGCTTTTACATTCTGTGAAAGCTCAAACAGAATACTGAACTTCACAAAGACTGCAGGTGTGCTTATTCAAGGTAGATATCCATCCTAAGGAACAACTAGACCTTACTTAATGGTGTGATTAGGAGCTATAAAAGGGTACCTTTTTAGGTGCATGAAGAAAATAACCCTCATGCACCTAAAAAGGTACCCTTTTATAGCTCCTAATCACACCATTAAGTAAGGTCTAGCTGTTCCTTAGGATCCTTAGGTTCCTTAGGATGGATATCTGGGCTGCAGAACAGACAAAAGGGAAGTTGAACTTTTTCCTCCACAGCTACAGCTACAATTGCAATGAAATACCACCACCACTAGAAAAAGTGTGGTGATTTTCATCAATATTATGGCTGGTTAGGGGAAGCTAAACTCTTTGTGGTTTTAATGAAAGCCCTCTTTCACTGAGTATGTTGGAGCGTAGTAGAGAGTGGGGTGGACTGGAGGTTCCTGGAAGAGAGCATAGCTGGACAGCACTCCATGCTGCAACCTTTTGTTGCAGCTCCCACTTGTAATCCTTCTAGCACTCACATAACTACTACTCCAAGCACATAGCGTTTTCTTTTTCAGCACGGTTCAAATGGTTTGCCCTTTGTATATGTAATTGGAGGTAATATTGAACCCAGGTCTTATTATCCCAAGGTCAGTGACCAGGGAAATAAATAAATATCAGGTCAGTTGCCTTGAAAATTTTTATTTCCAGCTCTGAGCTTGCATTACTGTAGCAGCTGCCTTCCTTCAGCCTGTTCTGACCTCTCTGTTCCCCAGAGGTCAAGCCTCTATGAAAAATTATCCTAATGAATAATGTTACTAAGAAAATAACCTAAAATCTGTACAAATGTTTTTATTCATTTAATCAGTTATGGCATTTCTACAACTAAGAACAAAATGTTCTAGTGTGTAGTTTTGAGGTAAACATTCAAATTGCAAAACATCAAGTAGATCTGATATATTTTATGTTACCTTTTGGTTAGCTGTCTGTAAGATGTCCCTTGACAGCAGAGAATCCCACACAGTCCCACACCTGCCTCACTCAGTTTTCTCATCATTCTCTGGTAAAGCAGGACCAGTGATGGGTGTGGCCTGGAAAAAGCTCTAAGGGCCAGACAGAGAGGCCTCACTTTCAAGACTTACCAAGCTGATCTTGGTCTTTAAAATGCAAAGGGTGGAAAAAACCCCATGGAGAATCATGTAATGTGTAGTTTGAACCTCAGGGTGGATTGCACATACTTCAGTGGCCCAACTTGCAACTGAATTTGCCCACAGCTGGACATGTTGTGTTTCTATCAGACATCATAAATGGCTGTACATTTCCCCCCTGACATGTACTTCTGCTCTGACAACTATTGTCATTGTTGTCTCCTTTAAATGATCTAGATCACTTTGACCACATAAAGGAAATTGCAGGTTCACATTCAATAGGAATTGGCGGTGACTATGATGGATTAGTTCGGTTAGTAACCTTTTTTCATTGTCGTGCAAGACAGTTATATATTCAGCACTACAGTGGGATGCTGTTTTAAATGGCATCCTTGGAATTCCCCCACAGTGTAGAATCACCCCATGTCCTCTTGACATCATTGTGTCTTGTGTTTCTCCACCTCCACCGTTGGTAGCCAATGGTGAGGACCAGGGGTCACCATCAATATTGATTAAATTTATAAACCACCCTTCATCCAAAGATCACAGGGTGGTTTACAGCATAAGAATGGTACCCTTGAGATGTTCCTCCAAGTGCACTGCAGCCACCCCCAGTCTTCGGGTGGTCAGGTTAGTTACCTTTTCATCCCTTGAAAAGTACATTGAGCTGATGGAGGAGGTTGGAAGAATGACACTCTTCCCCACTTCCTGTTTCAGCTCTATGCTCTCAGCTTACTTCTACTGGATCCAACTTTTACCCAGATGTATTGGGAAAGCAGGGTGTTTGTGTGTGAGCATGTTTGTGTGTGAGCATGTACACCTTCTTTTTGTCACTCTATGGGTGGATGATCTAGGAGCAGGAGAAGTACACAGAGGTGATAGTGCCTGTGAGTCAGTCAAAAATCTGCATGTTCCCACATGTGTAAAATAGTTGGCAACCCTTTGGGTGAGGCAATGCAAGACAGGTTGAATCAGACCACCAACTAAGTGTTCAGGGCCAGCCCGACCTGATATCCTCTAATCTGCTATCCTCAGGAATGTTATAGGATATTGTCCTGTCACCAAAGATTAAAGAGCTGTAGCTCACTGGTAGAGCATCTGCTTTGCATGCAGAATGTCTCAGTTTCAATCCTCAGCATCTCCAGGTATTGCAGGCAATGTTCTCTGCCCAGAGAGCTGCTGCCAGTCAGTGTAGATGGACCAAGCTAGATTGACCACGGTCTGACTCTGTAGAAGGTAGCTTTCTAGTTTCCTAAATTCTAACTGCTTGTCCAACCTCTGTACATTATGGAATACATGTATTGCATGTAACATCTGCTTCAACTTCCAGAGTGTAAGGACTTTATGTAGAACAAAAAACCTATGAAAATGGTTGCATCCAGCTCAGGAGGGGCATTCCAAACTTGACTGTGATTAAATCCCTGAAAACAGTTTAGACATCCCACAGTTTTCATAGCCTTCTCATTCTGTGAAAGGAATTACATCACACAGTGCAAGTGGAGGAAATGATTGGATGTCAGCAAGGCTTCCTCAGTCGGATTCTTGAATCTGATTTAGCACAAAAAGGATGTATATCCCCTCAGGAATTAGCTGCACAGTTAACTGAACTCGGGAACTTCTTAAGTTCCCTCTCTAGGGGGGAAAATGCCATCCAATATACATTTTGTTTGTTCCATACCTCAGTGTGAGCTTTCTTTGCTAACAGATTCCCTGAAGGACTAGAAGATGTCTCTAAATATCCAGCCTTGATCGAGGAGCTGTTGAGGAGAGGCTGGAGTGAAGAAGAACTGAGGGGTGTTTTGAGAGAGAACTTCCTTCGTGTTTTCCAGGAGGTGGAAAAAGTACTGCTAATATTTGTTTTCCCCTTTTAACTGGCATTACATTTCCCCAAGGGAGGGAAAGAGATCCTCTAGGTCCGAGAGAAGGAACCTGGGCCTTCTAGTTGTTCCCTGATCTAAGGGTTGAGGTTACCCAGCAAATTTGAAATGTGAGAATAAAAACAGAAACATTTCATTGCTGGATCAAATTTAAGACTGTTTTAGGTCAGTACTCAGCCTCCAATAAACAGCTAGTCAGGTGTCCCGGGGGGGGGGGGGGAGCAGACCAGCCTAAAAATGGGCATCACTTAGCGTGGGAGGAAAATATAACCCCTGTGACACACATGTGTGGGGTAAATAATAAAAAAGTATCAGCTGGGTGCCTGGATTCACAACTTGTTACTTGGGGCTAAATTCACTCTCCAGCAGGAAAGTAGCAGAGTTTAAACTCTCCACCCCCCTCCATTTTCTTTCTCCCCCATCCCACAATGATTAGACAGCAGTCTGGATCCACTAAGCATGTTCAGCTCTGTTTGTTTGTTTTTTGTTTGTGTCTCTACATATTAGAGGGGTTTTTGTTTTGAAATTGTAATTCTGTAAACCTTGGAGTGCCCCCCATGTCTGATGATACTTTTCTCCTGGGTGTGGTGGTGTTTGTTTTCCCAGATAAGGACCAGAATTTAGAGCATGAGTTCACTATTTGTATGTAGCAGCCTTCCCCAACCAGGTGCCCTCCAATAGTTGCTCTGTCCCAGCTCCTGTCAACCTAGCAGTTCGAAAGCACACCAGTGCAAGTAGATAAATAGGTACTGCTGTGGCAGGAAGGTAAACAGTGCTTCTGTGTGCTCTGGCTTCTGTCACAGTGTTCTGTTGCACCAGAAGCGGTTTAATCATGCTGGCCACATGACTGTCTGTGGGCAAATGCCGGCTCCCTCGACCTGAAGCAAGATGAGTGCCGTACCCCATAGTCACCTTTGACTGGACTTAAGCGTCCAGGGGTCCTTTACCTTTACAAGTCTTGAATAGCAACTTTGATCAGCCTCAGCTAGCATCGCCAGGCTGCTATATAAGGGTGCTTTGTTCACAGAAGGTCCCAGCTACTGGCATCACCAGACTTCCCAAGACCCTGGTAAACCACTGCCAACCCAAGAAAACATCATTAGACAGTTTATGCACAGTCTAAACCAGGACTGGGGAAACTTTGGCCTGCCAGATGTGGCTAAACTACTGGTCTCATCATCCCTGGCCACAGTCCAGCAACATCTGGAGGACCACATGTTCCCCACTCCTGGCCTGAATTGTCTCCAACTAAGTTGTACTAAAAGTACACCCATTGAAATTGATGGGCTTAAATGAGTCATGCCCATTAAATTCAACAGCCCTACTCCAGATGCCGTCTGCATATCAGATGGGTCAACAGAATAAGGCAGCTTCATATGTTTATAGTTGATGCAAAGGTCTCACTTTCTGATTTATCATTGTGTTTGAATACTTCTAGGTGCGTGATGAGAACGTGTCAGAGGGCGTGAGTGAAGTGGAAATTCCTCCTGAAAAAGTCGATCATTCCTGTCACACAGAACTAAAGCCCCCATCTAAGCTGGTGACCAATTCCCATGGACTGCACTGGGGAGGGCAGAAGCTGTACAGCCTCATTCTCTCAATTGCGGTGTATGCAATGCTAAATTGAGATCATCATCTCAGACAGTGGTGCAACAACCCTGCATGCCTGTTTGGAAGATAGAATGTGAAGTGTGACGCATGTAGATGCTGCTTTGTGGGGTCCCCACTGTGCCTTCTTCATTTCCATGAATGAAGAGAAGAGGCTGTCTCTGCACACGAAGGGCAGTCAGGTGAAACACAAGGACAAGACTCCTTTGCCTTAAATATTTTTGCTGAATACCAGGTTTCAGCAAACACCACCTGCAAATGCAGCAGGTGTTTTAAGTTTGGGGCAGGGAACCAGATGCTATGGGACGGCAGCTCCCATCCTTACTGACCCTTGCCTGCATTGGCTGGGGCTGATGGGAGCTGAGAGCCCCACATCACCTGGAGGGTCACTTCTAGCAATGTGGGAGACATTCAGCGCAGTTCACATTTATAGGCAAACCTGCCTAACGCACACTTTCCAAAACAATACGCAATTCAAAACACAGGCATCCATAACTATCCATAATTTTGTGCTAAATCACTGTTACATTTTCACAAGGACTTTATTTTTCTTTTTAAATAAAACCACAAACTGGTTTAGAAATACAGTGGTACCTCAGGTTAAGAACTTAATTCATTCTGGAAGCCCGTTCTTAACCTGAAACTGTTCTTAACCTGAAGCACCACTTTAGCTAATGGGGCCTCCCGGCTGCCGCCGTGCCACCAGAGCACGATTTCTGTTCTTACCCTGAAGCAAAGTTCTTAACCTGAGGTACTGTTTCTGGGTTAGCGGAGTAACCTGAAGCGTCTGTAACCTGAAGCATCTGTAACCCGAGGTACCACTATATGGAGAACTGAAGAGTGGAGGGATGAGAAACTTGGGGCAGATCGGCCGCACCATATGCATCTAAAGCACACCCTGTATACATTTAAAGCACATGGCTTGCCCCAAATAAACTTGGGAACTGTAGTTTCTTAAATGTAGTTTTGTGAGAGGAAATGAGAGTTCCCAGGATTCTTTGGGGGGGGGAACCATGTGCTTTAAATGTATGTGGTTGTTCTGCCCTGAGAGAAAGGCTGGGATGTAGGAGGAGGCCTGTTTGATAGCCGTACCGTAGGGTTGCCATACGCCCAGAATTTCCTGGACATAGCCGGCAGTTGGCCCTCAGAAACAGTGTCTGGGTGGAAATTGCTTAAATGTCTGGGAAAATCTGGACGTATGGCAACCTCAACAACATTTCTGTTCGGATTTTCACTTTTTGAAGTATGGCAACACTACCATACTGAAATATAGGAATTCCTTCCATAGAGAGGCTTGTCCATCCCTACATTGATGGCTTTTCACCACTATTTCAGGACTTTCCTCTTCTGACAGGCTTTTGACCTCTGAGATTAATGACCTCTCTCTTTCTCTTTCTAGTGGTATGCTGTTTTTTTGTTTTGCTTTTTCATTTTAGCTTGTTTTAGTTGTTTGCTGTCTCAAGCATGCTGAGTGAAAAGAAATGTTTTTGGTTTTTTTAAAGGCAGTAAATTGTTAAATAAATCCAAAACCAGATCAATATCTAGCAGTTTCGCCAAAACAAATGAGGGACAGCTGCTGAGGGAGAGGAGATTTAGATTCATGGATCCTATAAAATACTGAAAAATTGTTTGAAAATATCACATGTGATATAATAGTTGTGAAGAGTTTTGCTGTATAATATATAAATTTAAAATTATTATAATGAGAAATTCTGTGACTGCTCGCTGTTGGATTCACTAGAGCAGTTTGAAAGCCCCAGTCTACATGCTCTCAGAGTGGCCTAGGTTGCAATGCAATTCCCACTTGCTTGGGAGTGAGCTTCCTGGAACTCAATGGGACTTGTGTACATTACACTTCCAATCATCCTGATTAACTTCAGTTGGATCAGAACCTGTGTATACGTACCTTTGGTTGCAGGACCTCTGACCCTCCAGGGGTTACTGGACTACAGATCCCATTATCTTTGTCCATTGGCCATGTTGGCTGGGGCTGATGGAGTCCAACATCATCTGGAAGGATGATAACTTCCCACCCCAGTTAGTCTCATGGACAAAACTTGTCACTTTCCACATTTTCTCTTGCAAGTTCCAAACATCTCAGATGCCTACTCCACAGTAACTCAGAGCAGGGCTTTCAGTGTGGCTGCCCCTATTCTGTGAAATATCATTCCTATCAAAATACGACAGAAGCCTACTTTCTTCACTTTCTGGAAACAAAAATATATTTTTCTTCTAACAGGCTTTCCCAACTGCATAAATGGATCTTTGCCATTAGTGTCTGTTCTGTAGGGTTTTCGTTATGTTTTAAACATATGTTTTTGTGTTTTCAACTGCTGTGACGATTGTATAGAAGGCAATAAATAAATTAATAATATTTATTTATTTTTATTATTAAAAACAACCATGTGCACGTTGGTAAGAAGCACAGGGCTTAAATTCTCTGAACAACATTGCTTTTTTAAAAACACTTGGCTGAAAATTTTAGAAAGGAAGTAACATGTAAAGGATCAAATGTCTGACTTGGATCCAGTAGTTTTATTTTAATTTAAGGGTGGGGAACCTCTAATCAAGAGCCAAATCTGTCCAGCCCTCTTCCCTAGGCTTCAAACCACACTGGTCCTGCTGTGTCTCCTCTAAAGTAACCTGACCTGACTGGCGGATGGATCCATTCAGACTCTTGAGTGACTACTGTGAGCACCACCCCCTCTAGTTACTTCTATGTGACACACACACACCCCAAGATACAGAGGAGACAAGGTGTGCACACCCACATTTCTGAGGGAATAGTATAAAAATGTTGGATCTGTTAGTATTAATCTAAGCCACAAAGAGCTGAAACAGCAGTTCCTTAGGACCTAAGAGATTCCTGTTGTTTGGTGTCCAAACAACTCACTCAACCATCGTAGGTCTGACTTCACTCACTGGTTAACATCTCTAAGGGGCAGGAGCAGCCAAGGTAGGTCATCTCACAGATAATAATAATAATAATAATAATAATTTATTTATTTATACCCCGCCCACCTGGCGGGTTTTCCCAATCACTCTGGGCGGCTTCCAACAAAATATTAAAATACAATGGTCTGTTAAACATTAAAAGCTTCCCTAAACAGGGGTACCTGCACAATTTGCTGCTTAACTTTCTTTCTAGGAGGACTAGATACTTCTTTTAAAAAACAACAAACAAACAGAAAGCTTTAAGTCTGTGGATCCTTGCGGTCATGTGCAATTGCCCCAAGTGCACCTTTATAATCTGATCATGAACAAATTTCAGACACATTCAGGAAAGACCAGGAAAGACATTAGACTTGGTGAGCAGGATCCGAAGTGGCTCTTATTCCACTTGCTGCCTGCAAATATTGCCCACCATCTGGAATATTTCAAGGGACAGAGGGAGGAAGTTTGCTGGCCAGACCAGTACACTTTGCTGCCCAAAGCGAATCTCAGGTGGCAATTTCCCCTTTCAGAGAAAGGAAGCCCGGCTCATCATTGGAGCAACAGAAGAATGTGAGTTTGGCTTTGAAGTTTGCCTTGACCCTCATTTGTTGGGCTGCAGAGCCCTCTTGTGTCTTTATGCAGTCCCTGCAAGCGTCCCATTCCCCCCCCCCTTCACCCAACCCCTTTTTTGTTTTAGAGGCTTTTTGGTTTAGTGTAAGCCAGAGGTTGGGCACCTGTTGAGCACCCTCCAGGTGATGATGGACTCCAGTTTCCAGCATCCCTGACCATGAGCCATGCTGAAAAAGGCTGGTGGGAGCTGAGTCACGCATCATCTGAAAGGTCAAAGGTTCTCCATCCCTGGCTAAAACCTGCCTTACAAACAGCTGATTCAATGGTGGGCGAATTCAGTGCCTCCTGCCTTCAGCACCAGTCAGACAGCTCCAGAGGGACACTAGCCTTCTGTAGAAGAAGAGAAATGCTGAATCAGATACCTTTTTTTAATATAAAAAATAAATAATGGGTACAAAAGGGTACAGAAGTTGAGTAAGGACATGAAAGGAATACTTGCTTCCACCATGGCTTGAGTGAGCTCCAGCTTCCCAGCCCCAATCTCTTGCCCCTGAGGCCCTCAGGGAGAAGAGGAAGCAGGGGAAGAGTTGCAGGAAGGCGCAAAGGTGGAAGAGATGCTCCCAGAGAGAGTCGGGCCATTAGAATCTCCTTTGTCCCCTCTACCACTGTCTCTAAGACAAAGAGTGGCTGAAAGCAACAGGACCAGCTGAAGCTGCTGCACAGAAGAGATTGCCAGCTGCTTGCACACACTACGTCTCAAGAAGGGGTTTAAATGTGCTGGTGGAGGTGTGATCACACTGTTGCTCTGGCTCAGAGCACAAGTCTGAAGGAGATGCCTAGCTAGATACTTGGCAGGAGTGGTGCATGTAATTCTTGCACCACAGGTACTGATGCAATTGCATGCTTTGACAATAAAGAACTAAACTTACAATTGCATGTCCTCATTGGAGGCTGGGTGTGCTCAGGACATATACACATTTTTGCAAGTCACATTTTCCTAATATAATCCATTTATGTATGTTATTTCCACTAATGGGCTGTTTTAAATGGTTTTTAATGTTGTTTTGATGTTGCAACCCACCCTGGGACATTACAGTGAAAAGCAGGTAATAAAACAACAACAACATGGCACACATTTTACACACACTTTAATATACCATATGCATTATGGTACAAATTACTTGCTTGGATAACTGAATTGCAAAATTTGGAGAGGTGTGAACTTTGAAGGATGGCTGTGTTTCCATCTGTGTATTGTTTTAGAAAGTGCAAATTAAGTAGATTCGCCTTTAAATGTGAAGTGAATTGAATTTATCTCCCATTCCTAATTTGTTTTAACTGTAGCTTTGCATTATCCGTGAACCCAGCACCCTTTCCTAACCACAGTTTCTTTAGGAATCCCACTGCAGATGCTCACCAAACTACAAAGTCATAAGGCAAAAGCAGCTGGAAGACAAGACAAGCTTTAGAGAAAGAAGCCATGGTTTGTTTGGACATTTGTGGGACAACTCGTGT